GTATATATTAGCCAAGCGAGTGAAGACCGATAGTAAAAGACCAAGTAGTTCACGGAGTGTTGGAAAACTCCGTGACATAAAGGACCTGGGTAGACGAAGGTTCTACTCGCAAATACGTTTAATTTGTGCCACAAGAAAGAATAAAGGCCGTGATCGGCAAAAGTTGTGAATTAATTGCCTCAGTGGCATTTGTTGAGTGGAAAGTCGGTGTTTAAACGTTGTGGAAGGAATACGAAAGAACATTATTAGCGAAAGCTTCAAATAAATTAGGACATTGAACGAAAATAGTAAATACCTTAGTGGTAAACGAATGAAAATGGAGGGTATTGATCTTTTGGTATCGTTGGTTGAAAACATGGTGAAGATTGTGACCGAAGTCTTGAAAAACTTGAAGTCGAAGCAAGTAAAACGACATCGTTATAAACCTCGGCTGTGTTATGTATGCCGACGTAAAGGACATTTAGCTCATGATTGTCCAGATCAAATGAAGCATGAACAATCGGAACGTGGTATAGTGATATCTGAAAATAGACGAGTGAATGCTGACGAAAGCAATAAACGGAAGAAAAAGAAGAATCATACGTATCCGGTTGATAAAATTGAGGATATAAGGCTTATTAGGTTTGGTAATAATGATAAATATGTGAAAAGTATTCGAAGGCGTGGTGAAAATGTTAAAACGCATAGGCCAAGAACAAAGGGGAAAACAAATGTTAATTCAGGTGGTCAAGGCAATTTGAAAATGAAAAGAGGAACGAAATTAAAAGACAAACCTGAAGGTTCCAACGAAAAGAGGACATTCAATCGTTATATAAAAGCTGCCGATGACGGATATAAAACGGTCGAATGGAATTTAAACCGTGCAGAAGTTGGTAGTTTACATAAACAGTATGATCTTGGATTATGCGATCGAAAGGGGATAGGCGGAGCTGATGATAAAAAGAAGGCATTTGAATATAACATGAGATCTGTGGAAATGAGCGGTGATGGTGATATACATACCGATAGTTGCCATTATGAAAATGAAATCGGTTATGAAAAGGATCAACATAAGGCAGTCGAATATTATCACAAATCCTCCGATGTGGGTGATCCTAATAGAATCGGTGATGAAATGGAAAAACTGAAGGCATTCGGTTACTACGAAAAATCAGACGAGGAGCGTCTTGATTATTGTTATCAAGATGAAGCGACGGTAATATTAAATGCACCATTGGACGTGGTGACGAAAATGGATGTTATGATGAAAGGTTTGTTGGAATCGTTAATGAAAACTGAGTCTGACAGTAACGATGTGAACAATGAAAATGGTGAAATTACGGTGTATGAAAGGAGTAATGATGAAAAGCAAGAAAATGCGAAAAAGGATACAAATCCGAATAGTGAAACCCAAGATGTAAAAATCTTTAGGTGCGTGGAAGTAGGGGGTAAAGATTTTGTCGATGATGTTGAAAACGATGAGTCCAGTAAAGCGAAATCTTGTGGAGTTGGCGTTGAAAAGGACAAATCTAAGACATTCGAATATCATCAAAAATTAGCAGAATTGGGCGATGATAGAACATTTAGTGAAGGCTGCCACCATTATGATGAAAAAGGTATCGAAAAAGATGAAAATAAGGCACCTGAACGGTATTCAGAATCAGCTAAAGGTGAAAATGCGTGTGGACGAAATAGTCTTGAGCGTTGTTATGAAAAATGCAATGGTATAGTGAAGGATGAATGTGAAGCATACATTAATTATCAAAAATATGCTAATATGGGTGATCCCAACGGAACATTTGATGTTCTAAATTGTCACCGAAATGGAATAGGAATTGAAAGAGATAAGCATGTAGTATCCATTAACCACCAGAGATCTGATGAGAGCGAACGTAAAGCGCATGAATGGAATTCGAAAGGCGTTGGAAGTGACGATTTAAAGGGAGATCAAGATAATGTGCTGATGAAAAGAGTGGTGAAAATAAACGGACAGTCAGCAAAAGCATCGATTAGAACCAGTTTAGGTGTAAACTTAATAAGCATAAATTATGTAGAAAAAAAAGGGCTTACTTGGAAACATCCAAATAAAGATAATGAAGTCGTTGGGTATGTTCCTAGCGCTGAGGTTGATATCGACGGTGTTAAAGTAGATCAAAAGTTCCATGTGAAGCGTGAATTGGGTTGTGATGTCATTCTTGGAATGCCGTGGGTCATGAAAACAAGGTGTAGTTTCGAATGGAAGGATGGAAAATGTTACTGTATGATCCGAACTGGCTTTGAGAAAGCAACGTTCGAGATCTCTGATGAAAACTTAGATGAATACGCAATGAATAAAGGTAATATAATGAAGAGTGACGATCAAAGAGAAAATGAATTTGTTGATATTAGGTGTATTGAACGCGAAGTGGTGGAGAATGATGGTACCGATGAAGAGGATGAGAAATATAGTGATGGAAAAGACAATGATATTATGAATATGAGGCGTGTAGTGTTGGAGGATAATGAGGCTGAGTTTGATGATAATGGGGGTGAAGCTGCAGATGGTAGAGTGAATGAATCTGAAAAAGATTACCGCGAAAATAAAATCGAAAATGAAAAGGTTGAACAAAAGGCATTTGTTCATTGTCAAAGCCTCGGGAAAATGAATTGTGGTAATGGAGCACATAAACACGAGTGTGAAGACAGAAATGAGAGATGCATAGGATTGAAAGAAGCGTACGTGAGTCAGCCAAGTACCATGCGAGCATTAAACGGTATGTTGATGGCTAGAGATTGTATGAATGCTCAAATAAGGTTAAATGAATTAAGTTATCGAAGAACCAATAATGGGCATTTAATGTTTGGAAGTTCGACATTACAAAGTGCATATATTCGGGAACGATATAAAAGCATAAAAGCTGGAATGTGGAGCACTCCGAATATTTATGGTGACAAAGACCATAAGAAAGGTGTTGGTTGGAGTAAATGGGACGTTGCATGTTGTGGCAAAGTGAAGAGTCGAAAATGGATGGGTCAACGAAGTCTAAGGCATGATGTGAAAGGAATCAATTTCTACAAGCGATTGTATTTGGATGAAATTGTTGGGTGTAGTTCTGAGAAATTGATTAGTGCAGTATTTGGTAGTCGTTTCGAAATGAGGAAACTTAATAGAATAGATGTAACTTCGGGGACGAAGTTACTGGGGTTCTAGCTTGTGTCGCGGTGCTACGCGGTACCCATGTGAGTAGTGATCGGGTACGTGTTGATTGAACATCGTGATCGGGGCTTGCATGAATGGCGTGATCACGATTTAATTAAAAGTCTAAAATAGTGATTGCATAAACAATATAGTAATTAGCGATTAGTAATATTAGTGATTGCATGAACGATGTAGTAATCATTAGCGATTAGTAATAAATATAAGGCATCGATCCAAATGGGGAAATGCCTAACTTTGGGAATTTGTAACTTTCGTTCTTAGAAAAGAGCTTCGATTCTTAGTGAATAAACTGTGTTATCTGTGTGAATAGAATACTGGTGGTAGTATCTGGTACGATACTCCAGTCATCGTATATATTAGCCAAGCGAGTGAAGACCGATAGTAAAAGACCAAGTAGTTCACGGAGTGTTGGAAAACTCCGTGACAATAATCCAAATGCCCGTTCAATAATCATTCTTTTTGAAGAAAGAATTTTATTAAAATGACGTTCTTTATGAGATGATATTTCATAATTAGAAAAAGCTTTTATTAAATATGTTCTAAGAGGATAAGCTGCATCAGCAATCATATAAGTACCACCTGGAACCCATTGTTCCGGATGTAAAGAAATCTCATGATAAAGAG